TTTTTTTGCTTTGATGACAAAAGTCGCGACAAACACGAAATTTCACTTCTAACACGAAAGGGTACGCAATAAAGTATTTCTTCCACACATTTATGATGTCACTGATAACGTTATTTTACAAAGAAGCCTATGAATTATTAGTTATCAACACAAAAAGTCCCTACACTCTGGTGTTCCGCAGTCCCCGCGTGAACTAAATAAAAACAAGGCTAGATAATATAGCCAAGAATAAGGCGCAACTGTGATATGTTGCTCAGTGATCACCAAATTCCTTGAGTAAAAAATAGAAATAGAAACTTGAGAACGCGATGAATTAAAAACGCGACCATGTGTAACCTTTTGTAACTTAGACTTTTGCTTAGACTTTGGTTGGAGTTAATTCCATGGATTGAACTATTAGAACCATGAAGTGCAAAGACGTGTTAGATTTTTTGTGTAAAACAAAGTGTCCGTTCATCAATTGCATCATTTGCGTATTTTGCGAGACGTAAGAATTAGCTGTAAAGAGAAAAAGATACATCCAGTTAGTGACCTTTATTACTTCACCTCAAAAAGTTAACAAAAAGAAGTAAACGGCTAGCATAGTCTGTTCGTGTTGTCCTTCAGCAGCATGATTAAAAAAATATATAACTGTTCTAGTAAGGCCTCAAACTGCTGTTTAAAAAAAGTAAAATCCAAAATCCAAGCTTTCGCCCATCAACAGCATCATGGGCTAGCATAGTGTTACAGGCCCGTAGGGAAGGGGGAGGGGGGGAGATGTGACGGGTGCGCTCGCAACCCCGGCCCCCCACCCACAGGTTCCATAGGTCCACTTTTTTGTTGATCAAAGATTAAAACAAAGTGAATTTAGAGTGTTGTTCTAGTCTAAGTCACTGATTGTGTAGTAAAATTGAAAATACTGCGAAATAGCTCATAAGCCTGACTCGCCCTTTCCACAAAACATGTTTTGGCCTTCGTAAACTATAAAAAAGGGGATTATGTATACCTGCAAGGCATTTACCCCTTGCTAATACGTCACTTGCTCCTTGATTTTTTGACTGGCCAATACCAGTCTTCATCAGGTTTATTGAGATATCACGAATTTACAGAAATATGAAGTAAAATGATGACTGGAAATTACATAATATGACGTGGTATGGTGTGGCTACTTTAAAAGACAAGATAACAAAAAAATAAAAGATATACTATATATAGTTACAGTTCATCACGTTTATTGATGGCCAGAGGCTCAGTTGTCTTAGATTCATGAATAAGGTGGACTTCACGTGCTTTCCTGAAAGAATCACGCCCATTATCTTTGCTTTATCAGAAATTGACCACTGATCATGCGCTAGCTGTAGGTGTAAGGATTTTCCTTTCTCACTTTTTATAAGCGGCCCATTAATCTTTAGGGTTTGGTTTCATAGTTTTCTGCAAAGTGTTGGATCTGAATCGTTAGTTTAACAGTATAACAGGTTATGAGATTCCCTGCTATAGTTTTGACATGCTCGACCCAGTTTTTTGTTTTTGTTTTTGTTTTTTGGCGAGAGCGGTACAACCGTTTCAGAGAATGCGAATTCTCGTTTTCGAATTGCTTGTTAAACAGTCAGTTACAAAGGGTTGACTTCGGATCCACGTGTGCTTGAAGGAGATGAAGATATCCATTGTCATTCACGACAAAACAGCACGGACCCTCAGGGTGCAAACGGACGCAACAACCCCCAATATTGTTGCGCCAACAATGTTGCGTGTTTCAGTGGTGTGAAAACGAATGCAACAACTCCCAACAAAACAACACGCAACAGCATGCAACAGGCTGTGCAAACGGACTCAACGTGTAACATCCAACAATGTTGCGTCCGTTTGCACAGGGCTTTACTTAAACAAAAGTGTTGATACTCTAAAGCTCCACGCAAAAAAACGCAACATTATTGGATGTTACACGTTGCGTCCGTTTGCACACCCTGTTGCATGTTGTTGCTTTTTGTTGCGCAAAATTTGAAACCGGTCAAACTTTTAGCTACGCTCAAACGGACGCAACAATTCCCAGCATTACTGGCACAACAATATACGCAGATTAGATTAGATTAGCAAAACAACAACTTTGCGAGCGCATCACCTTTTTTGTACATTTCTTTGCCCTCGTTGCACCACGACGTAAAACTGCCTAATTTCACATTTTCCGGAGGACGGGAACACCATACAGCCATTTTTTAATTCTTCTTCTTTTTTTTGTTAACTTAGATACCGGCCTTTTAGAATTCATATTCAGAAAAATTTACCCACATTTGGCAAATTGAACGACGTGGAATACTAGCGATGAGTTTTGAAACAATGGAATTCACTTTTGTTAAGATGCTTCAGAATTTTTGTTGAGACCATAGGAAATATAGAGTGCATGCAGAATGCTTTCTGCGGTAGTCTTTCGATCCTTTTATAGTGAAATCGAGGAAAATGATGACAGGATTCAAGCGATGGTAATTAGACGTTCTTTTCGTTTAATTTGAAATAATTTGCTCATGATAAATAGCCTGTTTTAGGCGTTCAGAATGTGTTCCAGGGTTCTAGAAGGCGGGATTCCAAGGAAGGGGCGCTGAGGAGGTGGTGGGGGGAGGGGTGCAGCTGTCTACGCCCTTTCCCATTTGCAGGAATGAAAAATTACGTTGTATTGACATTACTCGCTTGATATGTTTAACGCCGATAATCTTTGCTATCACTCGCATTCACAGAGTTTAAAAATTTAAAAAAAAACAACGCCCAAAACGGTAACTCAAACCTTAATTACTTAATCTTAACTCAAAACTAGACTCAAACTCGACTCAGACTCGTTACTCGATCGTCATCCCACAAAGACACGCCTTACCCTCAATGATGCTGTAATTTCATTCATGGTTTACATAATTCGGGACTTTTCATTTGGTCTGTCGTCATACTGGATTCTTTTAAACGATTTTCGTTAGCTTGTAATTAAGTCGTCTTTTGGTCTTGTGAGATAAGAAAGACATTCTTACTCTTCTGATTTACACACAGTAAAGGGGAAGGGGTTGGTGGATACGCTCGGTCATCCGGTCAAATTAATTTTGCTTGTTTTATTTAAGTATACAGGACTGCCAAAGAGAAAAAATGAAGAGCACTGCAGTTTTGGCGTTTGCCTTGGTAACTCTGTGTGTTATGGAATGCTATGTATCAGGTACAAACATTTATTATTAAGTTATTGTTAGATTTATTATTATTAGATTTTGTTAACTAGTAGGCCGACAGGAATCTTTCACGTGCAACAAGAATATGACCGTCAAAAATAAACTTATTTCTAGCCGTGAGTTTTAGAGCGACCTTTTTAAAAACAGTCCGGCTTTCAAAACAAGTTTTGCGTGAGTCTGGCAGCGATACAAATTTCGGTTATTTTTAGTCTCTACCAACAGTTTGCCGAACTCTCAGTTACACACACACACACATTAGTGTTTCCAAAATGGTTGCCACAAAAAGACACTTGTTAGATGTTTTGGCCCTCTGTGTATGGATCTAGTTATTGCAAAACATAATTTAAAAATGTCCTAACTTGCGGAGCTGAGCTTATAAAATCATTACGTCTTTTTCAGCTGTTCACTTTAAGCGAAAGGAAGAACCACGAGTCGCTGAACACGACAGTCCAGGTAAGTTTATTTTTTGTTTATTTATTTATTTAGTCACTTACAAAACATACAAACATTAAGCGCATTGAACAATAGCTGTCAAATAAATTGTTAAAAAAAGTTAATGTGACAAGGAAGCCTAACGAATCCTAACTGAGAGCTCATATTCATTAGCCACAGGAACGTGTGACGAACCCCTAAGAACGTCTGCGTGTGAGGCTACATATCCATAGGCTTCCTTAAGGTAGATCACTCAGTAATTACCTGCTTGAGAACAGAGTATATAAACATAAAACTTAATAAGCGAAAGAATGACCATCAATGAGATAATTCCAAGATTTAAAAAAAAAAACAAATGTGGGAGAAGAGTTGGTTAATGAAATAGGCAACGAAATCCAGACTTTTTGGTCGCCGATAAAGGATACTGAACCGCTGAATATTCGTTCCACAAAAATGAGGTCTACAGTATATACTTATAGGCTAGTCAAGTTTCATAATGATGAACCTGGCTACTACTTAGGGACCGTACTTTTATTACGTCCCAGGGGAGGGGGGGTTGGTGGGGGTTTTGGGGGATACAATTTTCTAACAGGCTTGATTTTGGGGGTCAATTTTGAAAATGCACAAAACGTGAGAGGGGTCGAAATATTAAGACACAGGGCTGGCCTTCTATGTAACAGTTGTCAAACTATATTATGGTTCTTTGCCAACAATAAAATGTTACCCGTATAAAGCTTGGTCCAGAAACCTATCAGCTATTTCTGCTACCAGGAATGTAGCGTGCATGAAGGCACATATGCCTATGCATACAGCTGAAATCCGGAAAAAAATATATAGATTTTCTTTTCCCGAAAGCATTTAAATCATTAAAATGGGATAAATATTTCGCATTATATTGGTGTTTTTGTGTTAGGATTTCCTTTATCCTTTTACTGATTAAGTGAAATGGATCCGAATGTGAAGCCACAGACCCTGCAATGGTTGAGACTTTTGACCATGCCAACTACAATTCTATCGCGGAGTATAATGTAGCTCTCATAACTTTGTTGATTTATCCTGTCAACATGCATAGCTGAGCGTAGCTTCAGCGGTTTGAGGAGACTGCAAACTCCTTTACGAAGGACCGTGACAGACGAGAGACTGAGCTCTCTTGCAATTCTGGACACGTGCATACACAAGCACAAGGACGTAATTGATAGTGATGGCATTATAACAGTTTTACCCGTCTGAAGGGTACACATCTCGCCCGCTTGTAACGTCCTTGATGGCGCCACGGTTTTACCCTTGTTTGCCGTAAACAGTTTATACTTTATCGATCGTCTTTATTTACTGAAAATGGTAAAGAAAACGCAAGAGATGGTACTTCCGAGACCTTAAATTTGAAGAATCTCCGGGGGAGCATGCCCCCAGACTTCCCCAGGTTTCTTCCCCTGCGTGCACCTTCAAAATCACACTCTACGCTGTCAACTACCGGCATCTTATAGCTTATGAAATCAATGCCCAAGGATGGAAGAAGAGACTTAGTCTAGAACGGTTTGGAGGGGGGGGGGGGGGGTCCCCCCCCCCCCCCCCCCCGACTGGGACGTAATAAACGTACGGTCCCTTAAAAAGAGGTTAAGAAAGCTACTGGCAAATGATCATGGTGATACGGGTACATAAAAGATCATAAAAGTATTGATGCTATATATATATCACAGACTTTAAGTTGGCTAAATAAAGGCGCGGTGCGACTAGTAAGTGAGCTTTTTCTACCTAATTTCGCGATTTTGGCGAGAGAGTATTTCGCGAGGTTTTATTTTCGCGATTTCAACGCGCAAATATGAGAAAAGAACATTAAATTTCGCGAATTAAGCATTCTCAAATCTCTAGTTAACCTGTAAAGCAATGTGTGAAAGCTTTACAAATTAACCTTGTTTCACTCTGAATATACAAAACGAAGTTTACCAGTCTAACCAGTTAACAAGTTATATTGTCGATACATATCCCGTATATGATGTTGCTATTTCAAGTTAATATTTTTTTCCTGTGATTTGAATTTTCTACATGAGTATTTAATTTCGCGTGCTTAAATTTCACGAGGATTTATTTTCGCGGGTCCTTATTTTTGCGATTTTTTTACAATCGGGAAAACGCGAAATTAAAGACCCGTAAAATAAAGTACCAATAAAGGTAAGTACAGTTTTGGCGTTTGACAGCACTTCAACAAAACAAGTTCTTACGTGTTAAGCTACACAACTAAATGCCTTTTCCATATTCTCTCTTTATAGCGTTAATCAACAATGTAAAGGTTAAGGAAATGATCCGCAGGGAGCCGTCAGGACACCATCCTAGGAATCGAAGAGGGCCCCCGTTTGGACACCATCATGGGATTCAGAGAGGGCCCCCGTTTGGACACCATCCTGGGAATCAAAGAGGGCCCCCGTTTGGACACCATCCTGGGAATCAAAGAGGGCCCCCGTTTGGACACCATCCTGGGAGTCAAAGAAGGCCCCCGTTTGGACACCATCCTGGGAATCAAAGAGGGCCCCCGTTTGGACATTATCATCATCCTCATAACAATAACAACAACAACAATAACAACAACAACAACAACAACAATAACAACAACAATAACAACAATAACAACAACAACGGCGTTATAGAAACCCTCTATTGTGAATATGGCAAATCAAGTTGTGAATGCAAAGAAGAGGCAGAGGTTTGTATATTCAACCTTGAAATTGACGAAATTCAAACCTTCACCAGTTATGAAAAGTTGTTCGTAAATGAACCTACAGGAATAGCTACGCGTGGCTTCGAAGGAGTGGGTTATTATATCAATGAAAGTGGAATACCTCTGCCAGGACCTCAGCCTCTGAGTGACCCTACTGCACAATGTGCAACACCGAACAATGCGAATTGCACTAGCCCTCAGTTTGTAGATGGTAAAACGTACCTTATGGCAATAGCCGTCAACGGACAAATTCCTGGACCTACCTTGATTGTTCACGAGGGGCAAACTGTTATTGTTCATGTTGACAACAAGCTTACTACTGAAGGTATTTCCGTTCACTGGCATGGGATGCACCAGAAAGAAGCACCTTGGATGGATGGCGTCGGACAAGTAACTCAATGTCATATAGGACCCTCATCTAGATTTTCATACAAGTTCAAGGCTAGTCCTTCTGGGACGTTTTGGTACCACTCTCACAGTGGCACTCAAAGAACAGATAGCTTATTCGGTGGTCTTATAGTTAAAGAAAAAAAAGAACGAATAGAAAAGCTCACTCAGCTTTTAAACGTTGAATTTGAGGACCTTCCAGATCAGCATACCTTAACGCTTATCGAATGGCAACATCAGGCATCCTTGGATCTCTTCACACAGTTTAAAGCTGGTGGTTTTTTAAAAGACAAGCCGATTGGCGAGGTACCAATTAAAGGCGACGAGCAACTTTTCCCCACAGTTAGTTTTGATCGCGGAGGGGCTGGCCCTATCCCGTATTTTTCTGGAATCATAAATGGCAAAGGAAGGCATCCTGATGTTCCATACCCTAAAACAAGACTGAGCATATTTACTGTTGAGCCCAAAAAGACATATCGCTTCAGGCTGATTGGAGCCCAAGAAGGGTACGCTTACAAATTCTCCATTGATGGTCATAAGCTGACTGTGGTGGCCACAGACGGCTATTGGATTAAACCCATAGATGAGGTTGACTACATCATTATCCAAACCGGAGAGAGGTATGACTTTCTACTAAAAGCAGGAGAAGAAGTAAAAGACTACTGGATACGTGCAGAGACGCTGGAGATAAATGACCGAGCGAAAGGGCCACCCTACCCGACACTAAACCATGTGGCAGAGGCTATTCTGCACTACAAAGAAGGAACAAAGAGGGGGAAATCCGGATGATGATATACCGTCCACAGAATATGAAAGAATAAAAAATGAGTCTGCAGTCCGTCAGTGCTCCAAAGACAATCAATGCAAAGCGGTGAACTGTCCTTTTGAGAACTTCCATCACTCCTATAACATTACCTGTATTAACGTTCAAAACTTAAGTTTACTTGAGCCAACTCCAGAAAACGAACTTCCAAAACCTAAAGCGAGTTGCCCAGATTGTACGCATTTCATGAATTTCAATTTTGAGGGTTCCTCTACTACAAGTTCAGTGAATGGGCGCAATTTCATCCTTCCTTCCTTTCCACCCCAAACGCAAAATCAAGATTTTCTCAGCAAGTCCAAAATTTGTAACAACAGTGCTGATTGCAATCCATCGACAACTGATTGCTCGTGTGTCTACAAGATTGACATTCCATACAAGGAAACTGTTCAATTCGTGTTTTCAAATGTTGGCGGCGAGACCCGGAGGAGCCATTCTCATCCAATTCACCTTCATGGCCATTCATTTCATGTTGTTCATGTTGGATATCCAGCGTATAATCCGGACGATGGTTTTGTCAAAGAACACAACAAAGATATTTCCTGCGATGATGTCAATTGCACAAAGGATGGTTGCGACAGTAAGCTTTGTACCAGACCAAAGTGGGCGAACCCGCCACCGCTCTTTTCTATAAATGCATCTACGGTAAGGAAGGACACAGTTTCAGTCCCTGCCGGGGGATACGTTGTCATCAATTTCATATCCGATAATCCTGGCCATTGGTTTCTTCACTGCCATATAGAGGGGCACCTGCTCGAGGGAATGGCGTTGATTGTCAATGAAGCCTCAGAGGAGCAACAAAAGTTAAAACCACCCCCAGGGATTGAGAAAATTAAGTGTGGAGACTTTGAGCTAGACGAACCGTACTGATATAGAATGAACAACTAACTGCCAAAGGAAACGTCACCATTCTCAGTAGCTATAGGTATCAACTAAAGCACGCCGGGTCAGCTGTCGCGACTTTTGGATCACTTAGTTAAAGCCAAGGAACTACTTTTACAGTTCAAGTTCATCCGTTTGAGCCCAAAGTTTTCGAGATAGTAGAACTTTGTACTCCAAACATTCGTATGTATTTTGTTTTTCGATTTTAACGGTTTTTGGCGGCAAAATTCGGTCACGTTTGAGAGCAAAATTTAAACTTCGACAAGTGACAAACAAACAGCTTATTTTTAAAGAGCACGACGGGATAGAAGCAAATGAAAAAAAGATATTTGAAAAGCTCAGTTTCTTTAGGAGATATAGCATTTTGAAATGAACCTGTGTTTCCTTGAAAATAGTAGCAAAATCGCAGGAAATTCAAAATCAAATCTTAATATCTTCTTAATCAAGTGATTTTATCCCATCTCTTGAAAACTATTTGTCTTTACCATGTTTACTTTGTTATATCATTAGTTGAAATTGCAATTTTGTTGTCAATCATTTGACGTCATTTTCCCGCCAAAAACGGTTAAAATCGAAAAACAAAAAACATGCGATTGTTTAGAATACAAAGTTCTACCATCCTACAAACTTTGGGCTCAAACCGATAAAAGGTGTAAAAGTAGTTCCTTGGCTTCAAATAAGTGACCCGAAATATCGCGACAGCTGACCCGGCGTGAAGTAATGATTAGAGAACAGTTAATGGCAATATGCGGGCCAAAAGCCGTACTTCTGTACCTCTTCAAAAACGTTTAACTACTAATGTCTCATAAAAGTTTGAGATGACAAGAAAGAGCTCTGAAGAAACTTGAGGATACGAGGCTCCTGCTTTTGCTGCGTTTCTTGAACTTTAAAATTTCCACTCGTGTTTCTAAAACTTGTCAGAACCATGGAACAGATATTTTTTTCCTAAAGAAAAATATGATTGCAAATACTCGCATCCAGACTGTGTTACTGCCAGCTTTGTTTCATTGACTAATCAGGTTTTGACTAAACAGATGATTTGAATTCTGATGATTTGGAACATTTGCTTTAGAATTTCGTAATACAGTACCTGTATTTTAATCGCCAGCCAATAGATTCACGTATTACAAAGGCGTGTATCTGCGACTTTTCGAGGAATGTCTTGTGGTATGAGAAGCCAAATTACTAGTTAGCCATAGTATTGGGAAAACATTGGAGTTGTTTAGGAAGATGTTTCTGAGCTTTGCAATTGAATTCAGTTTTCTTAAAACCTCTAATGACACCTAATGAATCGTGTTGAGCATACATTCTTTTAATTGCTTTTATCTAGTTTGTTTAGGAATCCTGTCGAAGTTAGAATTTATAACATATAACAGAATTACATAGAAGTGTAAGTTGCTGCGAATGTTGGCCAGTGATAGCAGAAGCACCCCACCCATCCCCTTCCACTGCTGGTCCAAGCCTAGCATATATTTGGCTTGTCAGGGGTGGGGAAGGTGAGGGGGGGATGGGGGGGGGGTGGAGATTACTACTACAGTAGTTAATGCCAACTAGTAGGCAGGAATGTGGGATCATCCCCACAGTAATGCCAATTTATAAGCAGGAAGGACAATGTAAAGTTCTCCTCAACCACACGTATTGACACTTTGTTAGAGCGCCTCGTGGAGGGGGACATTGGGGGGCGGCGTTACCCATTACAGCAATACCGTAACAAAAATTGGCAAATACCGAAATACCGTGTCGATCGACGAAATACCGATACCGCATTAATGATCGGTACAACGATCGAAAAAGATGCCCCACCAATTTCATCATAGATTAATTGTCAGAAATTTTGTAATCATTTACCATTAGTGAAAAGTCTCAAAAATACTGACGTGCATTAGACAGGAGAGCGCAATGAACAGTACCGCAATACCGTGAAGGATCTTCTTTTACCGAATACCGTTAGCCAAAAATACGACAGGGCTAAATGATATCGCAATACCACGCTTTAAAATCAAAATTACCGAAATAGAGCTTGAAAAAAAGCTCAACACCGCAATAGAGAAGAAAAGTCGTTACGTCACGTTGCCATGGTAGCAAAATTTTTGGATGACAACAAACCGATAAAGTCACTTAAAAGTCTATTAGCGCTATTTCGAACTTCACCGATCTTATTCAATTTCATTTAATTTGCCAAATCTTGGCGAAATCTTCTTTGGGACCGTATCTATCTTTATCTAAGCGTAGAAAAAGAAAGCGACAATTTTTGTGTAGTGTTCACCTACTCCATAAAGCGGGCTCGTGAAATTAAGAAGTTTCATGTCGTAGTGGTGCAACGACAGCAAAGAAATGTACAAAGTAGCGTCACGCACGTGGAAAGTTGTTCTTTGTTAATATAAACATATTATTTTTTGCCGTTCTCCTTGCTGTCGCCGTCGTCGTTGGTTTTGTTGTCATCCAGAAATAGTGCTACCATGGAACGTGACGTCACACTTCTCCTTTCTATACCGTAAGCCTCCATGTCCCCCTCCTTGTGATCACAAGCTTTTAACCGTTTTGAGGACAAACACGAGCAAGAGTTTTTAAAAACTCTTTCTCGTGTTTTCCCTTGAAACACTTATAACTTACAACAACAAATTATCTTAAACACATTGAAGATGTAATAAATTTGTGTAGCATTAAAAGTGAATAGTTAGCTGAAGAAGGAAGGGGAAACTGACAAAAAAGGGAGTTTCCTTAAGTTCGTAGTAATGTATTTTAGTCTAGATGGAGACATTTTAGGTGCTTAGTAATAAGTCATGGTAGTATTTTTGTTTCCGTAGACTTTCTGACTTGTTTAATCTTTTTTTGTGTTGTTGAGGCTCATAATTCATAGATTTTTGCTATTCAGAATAAAGCATTTAAGACTAGACTGAGACATTTTGAATATATGTTATCGGATAGAAGTAGGTTTTTTTGAATCTGTGGCTTGGCTAATCACCTTCTTATCATTGGTTAACCAACTGCCTCGCTTAAGTGGAAGGTGGGTGCCCGGGATACCCAGGGGCTTCCACTGTGGCCAGCCAGCCCCTAGATAGAAAACTGCCCCCATGGCTGGCAAATCCGCGCAACCCAGCCATGAGCCCCCATTCCAGGCACCCGTCACACTGATCAAACAGTGGAAGGAAGAAAAATAGGGACGGGAGGGGGGGAAGACGCTAAATGAACCGCTCCACAGACCACTGCACAAACGCTCGATGAAGAACTCGCAGATCCTAGCCGTGTACAAAGCTACCACAAACCATGTGAGCCTGCACTTATGGGATTGACCGCTGGATGCCCGCTGCGCTCGTGAGCCGCTTGTCAGCTAAGTTTGTAGACCGCTAAGCTTGTGGACCGCTAAACTTGTGGACCGCTTAACTGCTAAGCTTGTGAACCGCTTGACCGCTATGCTTGTGAACCGCTTGACCGCTACGCTTGTGAACCGCCTGACCGCTAAGCTTATGAACCGCTTGACCGCTAAGCTTGTGGTGGTTAACTTAGTTAAATTACATTTAACCAAATTTAATTGTTTTTTTTTTTCATTCATAATAAATAAATTAATAATAAAGGGAGACATTTTGAATACTCAGTAATTAAGGAGCATTTTTGGTATTCATAAGCTTTACTGAATATTTCTTAGCATTACTGGTACAGCTGTGCTGAATTGAGTGCCATTTGATTGAGTATCATCAGAGTTTCTGGTGTCATAAAACAAAAATCAAGTCAGTCAGAGAAAAGGAAAGTGTCTCAAAGAGTCAGTAACCCCCTAAAAGCAAAACCCAGCAAACTCCTTGAGATGCGACAAAACCCTAATGATCACGTTGTGGCTGGTTCTAGTTTTGAATCTGTTTCCTTCAGGGAATGCCAGGTGCTTATCCATTAAGCACAGGCTTACAAGTCGTTCCATCAAATTGTGGTGTATTTTTTAAAGAATTGTATCAAAAACTATTCCCAAAAGCTTGGCTTTCTCCACCAAGGCATAGAAAAGGAACATTCCTAGGAACCGCACTGGGTGGTGCGAGTTGTCTGGACCAATTACAGAGATTCTGAAGCGAAGTAAAACAAAACCAGTTGCAGATCA